GGTGGCAGGACCCTGCTCCGGGCGCCTGGGGCTCCGACAGGGTGAGGTGCAGAAGCCCCAGACCAGGGCGTGGCCCACTTTCCTGCCCTGGTTTCTAGCTGCTGACTGACCACAGTCCCAGGGAGACAGGCCCATGCAGGCTTCCTGTGGCTGTTTACAAAGCGCTGCTCACCACAGCCCTGTCTGGGGGAAGGGCAGGCACAGCGGGACTTTCCAGGCCCCGTTCCCCTGCAGAGCTCGCACAGGGAGCCAGGGCCCAGCTGGTTCAGCCACAGCTTGGCAGTACGGAAGAGGCTGCCTGGGCACTGGGTTTGCAAAGGGAGGAGGGGCAGTGGTGAGCCCGCAGGTGGGGGAGTTGGCAAAGCCAGGAGGGCGCGGGACTGCCACAGGAGACGTGGCTCGTCCCAGGCGGGGCGCAGCCCCCTCTGCTGACATGCCCAGCGCCCGCATGGCCGGCAGGCAGCAAGGTCCGGTAGCAAACGGCAGCACTCGGAGCCTTGCTCCCATGGAGGCTGCGTGGGCTGGGCTGGCCAGGCCACGGCCGTGTGGCCGCGCCAAGGGAGGCCCTGGGGATTTCCAGCACAGCTCCCTGACCAGCCACCCCGCTGCTGGACTCCCCCTTGGGGCAAGGCAGAGTGCTAGGCACAGGCCCCTCCCGGGCTTCATTTGCAACTCCGGTTCCTACATTACCACCCTAGTTCGAACTAGGGTGGTAATGTAGGAACCGGAGTTGCAAATGAAGCCCGGGAGGGGCCTGTGCCTAGCACTCTGCCTTGCCCCAAGGGGGAGTCCAGCAGCGGGGTGGCTGGTCAGGGAGCTGTGCTGGAAATCCCCAGGGCCTCCCTTGGCGCGGCCACACGGCCGTGGCCTGGCCAGCCCAGCCCACGCAGCCTCCATGGGAGCAAGGCTCCGAGTGCTGCCGTTTGCTACCGGACCTTGCTGCCTGCCGGCCATGCGGGCGCTGGGCATGTCAGCAGAGGGGGCTGCGCCCCGCCTGGGACGAGCCACGTCTCCTGTGGCAGTCCCGCGCCCTCCTGGCTTTGCCAACTCCCCCACCTGCGGGCTCACCACTGCCCCTCCTCCCTTTGCAAACCCAGTGCCCAGGCAGCCTCTTCCGTACTGCCAAGCTGTGGCTGAACCAGCTGGGCCCTGGCTCCCTGTGCGAGCTCTGCAGGGGAACGGGGCCTGGAAAGTCCCGCTGTGCCTGCCCTTCCCCCAGACAGGGCTGTGGTGAGCAGCGCTTTGTAAACAGCCACAGGAAGCCTGCATGGGCCTGTCTCCCTGGGACTGTGGTCAGTCAGCAGCTAGAAACCAGGGCAGGAAAGTGGGCCACGCCCTGGTCTGGGGCTTCTGCACCTCACCCTGTCGGAGCCCCAGGCGCCCGGAGCAGGGTCCTGCCACTGCATTCAGCCTCACGGCTCAATGCTGCACAGGCTCCTCCAGGGGTACAGGACACAGCCACGTCCCCTACAGCGGGAGAGGGCCCCCGAAATTGGGAGGACCCTAGTTACGGCAGGTCACTGACTGAGGAAGAGCCAGCAATCTGCAGCAGTTGCAGGCTGGTGTCTCTGGCGTGACTCAACAGGCG